TTCCACCACCACCATATATTGCTAGCCTCCACCATAAACCCTTCACTATCCATCTCCACTAATTAATAACCCAGCCTATATTACTTGAAACCCCTTATAAATTAATTATGATAATGTGATTAATGATAAGGTAATGGTTACCTTGATGAACTTGATGATAATAACTATGGAACTTAAAATTCATAAAATTTGACTAAACCCCGACATGGGGCGAGTGGGGGTAATTTATGTGGGATAAATTCCTATGGGAGATACTCGCCTCAGTCACATAAGGACCGGTTCGTAGTCCCTCTTACCTTGTGAGTCATTACGTACAACCACATGTCTATATGGGTAGACCTGATCTCACATCCTATTGGATAGAAGTATAATGTCTACTAGGAGGCCGGTGTATGCAATGGAAAATCAGGAACCAACACGGGGGATAGGTTTTCTTCCATGTCCGGTTGGCGTGGATGCTATGCGATCTTCCACGTTAAGCTTTAGGTTTTTAGGCCACATTCGAGCCACTGTTTTCTTGGCCATGTTTGAGCCATGTTTTCTTTTGTGATGATTTGGTATCATCATGTTTGGGGGGATTTGTTATCTTCATGGTTTGTGTTTCCAACCCCTAAGAAGCCAAAGTAGAGATTATATAGAAGTCTAGGTTAGCCTCCGAGCGGGTACGGGTTCTCGTTAGACCTGTCTAAGCCATGACGATGGTGTCGGACTGTGTCTATCGTGTGGGGAAATTTGTACACCTCTGCAGAGTTAACTAAATGTATTCGAATAGCCACATCCTTGGAATGGGCAAATGCTAGGATGAGATACTATGATTAGATTACAACAACTATCTGGTAAGATGTATTTTACAAATTTGGTAATTATGATGAACAACGGGAACTGGTGAGAATGGTAATACTCTGTCAGGTCCAACCTAAAATTATAACTACTCCACCTTACTACCTTACCTATCCACCTCAACTACTCCAACCACCATAAATCCACCTTCACCTATAGCCTACCCTTCCACTCCACCCCCACCCAAATTAGGGCTTGCAGAGTACTTTATGTACTCAACCCCCTCCATCTACATTTTTAGGAGTTAAGCTACAAGAGGTTATGCCCGGATGGAACTACTAGGACTATGCCAGGATAAGACACTAGGAATATACCCGAAGATGGAGCCATACGAGAGAGCTACTCTAGGATTACGATGTTACGATATAGGATTACGCTAGATGAATAAGGCTAAGGTTGTGTCCGCACTCCAAGTTGCCTGTAGGAAATGGAGCCACATTGACATAGGACCACTGTCTTAGAACTCTAATATAGGAAACAAGTCCAGTGGCCCAAGCTATGTAAACCTGAACCATGTAACCCATTTTCCCCATTAGCAATAAAAAGGATGGGTTTTTTATATCAATCTTGTTGAGTTGTGCGTATCAACTACTGATCCAGGGACTAATACATATGCACAGTGGACCCCAGAACTGGGGGACCAACATATACATGATGGATTACGTAGTTAGGCACGTTCGCATGGCCGTGTGGTCGGTGGGGGCTATCCGAGCCCTCTCTCCCCCTCCCTTGGCTAGCCAGCCTTGGCTGGATCCCACAGGAGGCGGCAGTCTCAGCGCTAGGTGGTGGCGGGATCTGCGCTGGCTAACGCTCGATCTGCATGGACGACGGGAGGTCCGCACGCTTGGGCTTCTATTGGGATTGCTTGACAGGGGTAGGAGCATTGGCAGGCTAGGCGCGGCTGGGGCCTCTACTATCCCTGTCCCTCTCCTCCCCGCCATCTTCCTTCCTCTTGCTAAAGCTAGTCCCATGGTGGAGCTCGGGGGTGTTGTCATGCGGCTGCGCATGCAGCGAGGATGCTCGCGGTACATGTGGTGGCATGGGGTGTCGGCGGGGAAGCCTGCTTTTGACACTGGCGCCTTCCTTCATGTCTGGCCCCCATGCGGTGGGCATGGGCAGGCTGCAGGGGGTGGGTGTGAGAGAGATCTTGGCAAAAGCTTGGATGGCGACGTCCGCGGACGTCGTTTCCTCCTTGGAGGCATCCTTCTGGTACATCTCCTGCCCAGCTGGGTATTTTGCGGGTGAAAACCTTCCCTTGCTAGGTTTGCGACGGCGGCGCCTTTGGCATCGTTTCATTCTTGAAGGCATCGCGAGGCTTTCCAGCTCCCCTCTGATATCCCGCTCCTGTTGTCTGGCTATGGTGGTGCTTCAGGTTCCTCTGTGGGTGGTGCTCGGCATCAACGTTTGGGGTTCTGCCCATATAGTTGTTTTTGTTGTGCAGTTGCTAGTTGGGTCGTTGTTTTTGACCAAGTTGGCTTAGTGTGAGCAAGTAGTTGAGATAATTGAGTTTAGTTGGGTCGATTCGACCGAGTGGGTGCAAGTAATGCGTGAAGTTGTACCAAAAGTTGTACAAGATGAGTGGGATACTGTCATCAGTTGTCCAGTTTTTTGGTCCAATTTCCATTCAAAAGAAAAGGACCGGCACTTGCTTGTTTTTTTATTCTCCGTCTAATATAAATCAAGATAAAAATTTTGTCGTCCTTTCTAAAAAACGTACATTATCAACCGTGGACTGAGGGTAGCTGGTTAGGTTTATCGGCGATTCTAGCGCCCGGACGTCCAGCGCGAGTGTGTCCGGACGTCGGTCCCTTCCCGAAGCCCGCCCGACCCCCCGCACGGAATAGAACAGATCGAAACCCCCGGTATAGAACGGAACGAAACTTGACCTGTCCTACGCTCCCCACCGCGCTTGTGTCCCTAGTTTCCCCACCGTGCCCATGTCCCCCACCGCGCCCTGTCCCAAAAGAGCATGAAACACTTCAAGTGCAACATTGCAAACATATGAAAAACTATGTAGTGTAACATCGAAATATAAATACTGCAACATCGCAAAAATATATAGTGCAACATTGAAAAACATGCACTGCAACATCGAAAAATATGTACTGCAACAACAAAAAATATGTACCGCAACATCGAAAAACATGTACCGCAACATCACAAAAAATATGTACTGCACATCAAAAATTATGTGATGCAACATCAAAAATTATGTACTGCAACATCGCAAAAACATCTGTTGCAAAGACCCAAAAATCCCATTGCAATATTCGAAAATCATCTGCTGCAATAACCCAAAAATTCCATTGCAACATTTGAAAATCATCTATTGCAACATAAAAAAAACCATTGCAACACGGGAGAAAAAGCAAAAAAACGTAGAAAACAGCCTTGGCCCATCACCTACGAGCTCGCCGGAGGGAGGAGAGAATAGGACCTCAGAGCTCGCTGGAACCGTAGCCACCGCCGCGCCCCTCAGATCCAGAGGAGGAGGAGCATTCAGATCTAGAGGAGGAGGGCTCAGATCCAGAGAAGGACCGACCTACCTCGTCGGAGCCGCCACCGTCGTCCTCGTCTCCGGTGGGGGTCGCGGAAGGAGGGAGGGGCGGCAGTGAAATGGAGAGCAGGCGCAGTGTCCGTCCCGAGGGCGGCCCGGAGAACGGCGCGCAGTGTGGCAGCGAGTGGGTGTGGGAGTTGCTGGAGCAGGGGGGGGAGCGGGCGAGCGGAGGAGCGAGTGGGTGCCGGATGGATGAGGAGTCGCGCTTGGTCGGACGGCCGCACAGTATCATTACCGTAGGTTTATTGTGGTATGATTTGATATGGGTCCTCATATTTTTCTAAAAAAAATTCCACAATTTGAATGTGCTATTGGTTTGGTGGATTAAAAAAACATACAGTATGTATGTGTGTGTGTTGTGTGTGTGTGTCTCTCTCTCTCTCTCTCTCTCTCTATATATATATATATATATATATATATATATATATATATATATATATATATATATATCATCTAAACCGGGAAGGAAATGTAAGGAAACTGAAACGAACGTGGTGGACATAGGTACATAGGGTTAACGAGGATATTGCAAGTGTTTCCGCTAGCTAGAGGTTAATTAGCGGAGTAAAAGGCAATATTGCCGTGTTCTTACATGTAACCATCAGTAGACGAATGAAACGCGGTCGCGAGCCGACGAATTCAACGGTCAGTCGCTTCCTTTACATGTATTCTGTGAGCTGAATAGCTCATTGCCTGCGGTTCTTGTCATCCCGATGGCGACTGAGCTTTGGCATCTCCGAGAGGGAGACTTAGAGACTACCTGCCAAGAAGTCATCCCGTGCTAATTCTTCCAACCCGAACTTGTTATAGTCGTCGGATAAGTCTGAAGTCAGAAGACAATCAATCACTCACTTACGTTTGTTAATATAAACTGAACTTCAGTTCAGAAAAATCATATATGTTTGCTAGAGTTCAGAATTTCAGACTACAGACTGGCTACCACCAATCGATTTTGTGTTGAATTTTTAGTGCACCTGGATGTCTGTCATCACAGGGTTCGTGTCGATTTTAACAAACACTTGCTTGTCTAGTGTCTGTCATCTCAGTGGATAGTCAAGTCTTCCCTTCAGCTACGCTCCACATAACACGGTCTGCATCCTCTCGATCGATCAGTCGACCAGCAGGCGCCAATAATTCATCCCCTGTTCATATCATCGAGCAATAATCGAGATGGGCGCGGGGTCGTCGTCATCGATCCACTCGGCGGACTTGCCGCGGCTGCTGTGCTGCGCGTGCGTGGAGCAGTCGACGGTGGCCATGGAGGAGACGTGCGGGCGGTACGACACGGTGCTGCAGCCGGGCTGCCACTTCATGCCCTGGTGCGTCGGCCGGAGGGTCGCCGGATACCTCTCCCTCCGCGTGCAGCAGCTGGACGTCCGCTGCGAAACCAAGAGCAAGGACAACGTCTTCGTCACGGTGGTGGCATCCGTGCAGTACCGCGCCATCGCCGACAAGGCCTACGATGCCTTCTACCGACTCAGCAATGCCCGGGAGCAGATTCAGTCCTACGTCTTCGACGGTAACCATCATTTTTCCTTTTCATCAGTTTGTCTATCCGTTCATGTGTTCTTGTGATGGATGATGGACGATTTGGTTGATCCAGTGATCCGTGCGAGCGTGCCCAACATGAACCTGGACCAGGTGTTCGAGCAGAAGAACGAGGTGGCGCGGGCCGTGGAGGAGGAGCTGGCCAAGGCCATGACCATGTACGGCTACGAGATCGTGCAGACGCTCATCGTCGACATCGAGCCCGACGAGGTGGTGAAGCGCGCCATGAACGACATCAACGCCGCGGCGCGCCTGCGCGTGGCGGCGGCGGAGCGCGCGGAGGCCGACAAGATACAGCAAGTGAAGCGCGCTGAGGGGGAGGCCGAGTCCAAGTACCTGGCCGGCGTGGGCGTCGCGCGCCAGCGGCAGGCCATCGTGGAGGGCCTGCGCCGTTTCGTGCCCGACGAGAAGTCCGTCATGGACATGGTCCTCGCCACGCAGTACTTCGACACCATCAGGGACATTGGCGCGACGTCGCGCGCAGCCACTGTGTTCATCCCGCACGGTCCCGCCGCAGTCCACGATGTGGCTGCGCAGGTCCGCGACGGCGTGCTCCAGGCCGCGGCGTACGCTCCCGGCGCCGGAACCAAGTGACCGGCCGGCGTAGTGGCGCACGGTACCTTTCCTAGCTCTGTTGCCTGTCTATTCTTGGTTCTTGGACATGTACCATGTATGTATTCGAAACGTGGCCGTATGTGTTTTGGTACCCTGTGTTGAACCATCACTCTACTTATTACTAGAGTGAAATACTCTACTTCGAGGTGTGTGTTAGTGTATACAATGCCTCTATTTCAAATTATAAGGCATTCTAACTTTTTTATAGAATTAAAGCATTTCAAATTTTCACCAAGACTATAGAACTGTGAAGATTTATGACATCAAATAGGTATATTATGAAAACATAACTAACGAAGATTCTAACGATACTTATTTGGTATCATATATATTATTATTTTATTATATAAATTTGGTAAAACTTGAGATACTTTGACTGTCCAATAAAGTTAGAATGACTTATATAAACATCAGAATCTTTTATATATGGAAAAAAACAACTTTGCTAACATAGAAGCAGATGCTACCCATCAGCTTGCTCGATAGCGCTTCAGTGGAGTTGCCACTTCAGCACCCTGTCACACCCCAAAATTTCTGATTTTTGGTTGTGCTTAGAAAACAATAAATAAAATAAGTGATTTTAATGTTGATATAAAATTTTCCAAGATTAGTTTAAGGTAGTGCAAATTTAGTTATAAAAAATTGAATTTTCAATCTTTTTCAAATTAATTTGATGGGTTTTGCTTGATGTGATGTTTGCTTGTTGTGTGACTTGGTGTAATGAGTGAGTAGAATTTTCAAAACGTGTTTAGTAAGTCGTTTATCTGTCTTCAGCTCGTCTCTATTTTTTTCTATAATCAAATTCCAATTTTCTCGATCCTAATCTTTTTGTTTGGTATTTTCTAAGATCCTCTTTATCTGCTCTAAATCATTCATTTGAGTTTCTCATTCATCAATCAATTTCTACAAATTTCTCGGGAATTTTTCCAGCTTTTTCTACAACTTGTTCCTACTTGTCTGTAAGCATAATTTAATCTTTAGATGCTCCAAAATATCCTATCATGGGCTCCAAATACTTTATTTTGGTTCCTTATGGTCCATAATGTCTTTGGGAATTTTCCCCGAATTTTCAGAGCTTTCGGAGTATTTTTCGCGGCTTAAATAATAATTCTAGACTTTTCTGGAATTATTTTATCCATGAAATTAATTAATTTCGAAAATAATAAATCTCTCATTTTTCCCAACGCTCAAAGCCCATGTGCAATAATTCTAGTAAATCTCAAAGGCCCATGCATTTATTTATTAATGGGCTTTAATATTTATTTAGGCCCATTAGTGCAGGCGGATAGTGCAACATCAATTAGTACCATATCGCTAGTAGATGGAGATGTGGGGAGTTTTTCTCCCTATATATATCTACCAACCCCTTGGGCAAAACATATCAAAACTATCGTATGAGAAGCCCCTAGTTTGAGAAATTCCTCGTGTAGTAAATTATATTTTTCCCTCCTTCACTCGCCGCCGTCGTCGCCGTCACCGCCGCACTGCCCGTTCGTAGTTGATCGTTGGTAAGCATCCCCACGTTTTCCTTCCTCTTTATTAATTACACCATGCCCGTTGATTACCTCTCCTGCCGCAGTTCGTGCTTCATCGAGAGCCATCATCAATCTCTGAGACGGTTATGTGGACGTCTCGCCTCCGTCGGTGAGAAATCCAGCATACAGTTCCTTCGTCTCTCCTCTACATGATCTGCACAGCTCACTAGGTCATGCAATCCTGTAGGTTCTGTTCCATAATTAAGCTAGGTTGGACAGCATGCAAGCGTGTTGCTCCGGCCTTGTTTGTCCGAAGGTCCGATGCAATCTGAGGTCACAGTTTTGCTGCCGAGCCACATGGTACGATAACCATATCCACCTTTTGTCTGTGCATCTGTGCCTATCGACCCGATCATCATCCGTGTTCCATCTGATGCGCCTCTGCATGCCTCCGTCAAGCTGCCAAGGCGGGCCATGCACCTGCAGTCCATCTGCTTGCAGTCTTGAAGTCCAGCAAGCAAGCTCGTCGTTCACCTGAAAGCAAACAAGGGCCATGCGTGTGTACACACAAGCAAGTAAATCCCCCCATGCACTGCAGCAGCAGAGCCCAGCCGTGCCTCTCCCTGTGAGGTCCTGTACGTGGATGGATGGGGTAGAAGATGCCGATAACTATGAAATTGCCACTGGTTAGTAGCCTTCGCCGTTTATCTATTTTAATTCCGTTTTAAGTGGTTCAAGTTGCGTTAGATTCGTGTCGCCGAGATCTACGCAGTAGAGTTATTAGTTTATATGCCACATGTTTATGAATTTATTCTAGTAAAATATTAATTGTATTTATAATTAGTTAATCGCTGTTTAATTAAAGTCGATTTAGGTTTTTGATTTCGATTTGATTGCGTGAGTTTCATCGCAACATGTGATGCGTGTTCATGACAATGTGTTCCATGTTACCTTATTACGCATTCATAATTAAATATTAATTTGATTAACATTTATTTAATAGTCTTTTTAATTAAAATCAATCTACTTTTTAATTATGTTCCCGATCTACACTCGTTTTGTAACGTTATATGCTGGGCAATGACGATGTTATATACCATTTTCCGTGTTTATAGTTTTCAACACAAATGTTAATTGGATTAATATTATTGCTCACACCGTTTTCCGAAATAAAAGCTAATTAGTGTTGTAACTTCGTTCTGGTTGAGTTGCGACCGTGCCGACCATAAGATATGTGTTAGCAGCGATGTTTAACCTGTCTCACATCTTTGAAAATTTATATGTTAAATATTAATTTGATTATTGCTTTATGTAATCCAGATTTTAATTCAAAGTAACATAGGGATTAACATTCGTCTTTTCGTATGATAGTGTTAATTTGATTAATATTGACATAAATGTATTTTAAATCATAATTTGCTTAGCTTAAACACGTGGCACATGATAAATTGAATAGATACTCTCACATGTTTATATCCTATGCAAAGTAAAGTTTAAATAACTTAAATAATATGAGATATGTTGGTAAATAAAATATGACTAGTTTAATCCGGCTTCTAAAATAAAATGTGAATTTATGTAATATGAATTAACATGCTTCATATGGTTTCGCTAAATTAAAACAAATCAAGCATGTAGGCTTTTCTTTACTTTTATAATATAAATCTCCCGGTAGTCGTTCCTTTCAACGGTAGTTCCATTCTCGGCGTTTCTTGTGATCTTGTGACCGTAGTGACGAGCTCTCTTTTAGTATGTTGTTTTTCTCTCGTGTGGTGAATTGTTCTTAGTTGCTTGTATGTTTGCCTATGTGGGGTGCTTGCTATGCGTAGAACAAGAACCGTTTGTGAGCGCTGAAGATCAGAAGGTGGTGATGACCAGAAGCAAAGTAAGAGGGAGTTTGATCAAGTGTTAAGGCAAGTATAGCATAGGACCATTTTTGTTACCTATTCACCTTTAATCATTTAATTCATATTGCATGTGTCTACCTTGACTACCACTAAGGATACCCTAGTCTTTTGTACTTATACCTTGATACCTATGGGTATTGCATTGGGTAGTATGATGCTAGTGCTCAACTAAAGCCATGATCTTGTAACTTGACTAATGGTATATGCAATAAACCTTAAAAGATGCTTTTTAGCAACATGGAACAAGGGGCTAGAGCATTGAGCTATTTTATAGTACTCTAGATTCCTCTCCCTAAGGATTTATCTGTAAGTGATCATCCGGGACTTACAATACAGCTGTGAGGGCTACATGGCTCTGACTTTAGCTCAGTATGAGGACCTTTTCTAGCTTGTTAGTGGTTACCTTTATGGCGCAAGAGGGGTGTGTTCCGGGTTGGATATAGTGCGGCCTCTATCCGTCAGTGTATAGGCTGCGCGTCATTGTGCCTATCGGAAGGGGAGCTCTACATTCACAGGCCACAGAAACCTAGCGGCCCTAACTTGTTAGACGAATCTTTGAAAGGCTTCAGAGTGAATCCTGCCGACCTTCCTTGGTAGTGGGTCAAGAGGTTGGCATCCTCGGGCGAAAGGGTAAATCACGACTCACAGTGAAAGTGTACAACCTCTGCAGAGTGTAAAACTGGTATATCAGCCGTGCTCACGGTCACGAGCGGCCTTAAAACCCTTACGGAATAGATGATCACTAATGGTTAATGATGATGAACACTAAAGATATGGATGATGAAGATGCTCACTAAATATTACTGTTTATGCTATCATTATTCATGTTTACCTAATCATGTGTTTACATGGGCTGGTGATAAACTTGTTGCTACTCAATTGTTAAAATTGTGACAATTAAAAGCTAATCGCAGTTAAACCAGTGCCAGCCTTTTGAGCCTCATGAACCTCGTGTTATATTTGCTGAGTACGACATGTGCTCACCCTTGCTATTTCCCCACACCCCCAGACTTTAGTAAAAGTTGCTCAGAAGATTGGTGAAGACAACGAAAGAGTTCTCAGGATACTATCAGAGGTGTTTGGCATACGTAGCCCCCAGTCAGCCGTCCCTGTAAAGAATGGAGCCTAAAGATTAGCTACCGTTCCGCGATATTCTGATGTAAGTATTAAATATGAGTATGTTTCGTTATATAATAAAGCATTGTCTCTTGATACTATTGTAATTTGTCGATGTATGTGTGATTTGACTTCCTGGGCACACATATAGTTAATACTCAGTTTTGTCTTTAAAACTGGGTGTGACACACCCACACCCAGATATCAGCAGCAGCATGTAGTTGCAGCCTAGGCCCTGTTCGTTTCGTTGAAAAGCCATGCTGAAAAGTACTGTTGGTTGATTTGTTGTGTGAGAAAAATACTGTACCATGGTTGATAAGCCAGGCTAATAAATTTTTTTGCTCACGGTCTCACATTTTCAATAGCTGGCAACAGCCGATGGGCTATTGCACCACAGTTGCAGTCCAAACAGCATTGTGTAACGAAGACAGCAAGCCCATTGTTATGGGCACCGAATGACTGAAGTTAAGCGAAATCATCTCCGCCCGCCGATTGGGTGCATGAAGGCGTGCTTAAAGCTGTTAAGGGGCTCAGCCAAACTAACCTCAAACCATAAAAACACAGCTACCTCACTTAACCAATCTAATCCACATACCAACCCACCCTAATCCCCATACCAATCCAAATGCTGCCTCACCGAATCAGTCTAGTCCACAACCCATACCAATCCAAACTGGAGGTGATTATACTCCAAATTAACTTCAATCCCCATACCAATCCAAACGCTGTCTCACCGAACCAGTCTAGTCCACGGACAAATGCTCACAACCCATACCAATCCCCACACCAATCCAAATGGGAGGTGATTAAACTCCAAATTAGACCAAAACCATAGTTCCAATGGTTCGAGCGCACCAAACCTCGCAAGCCATAGGCAAGCTTCTATTCGCTTGAACTTATCAGCCTGGCTTATCAGCTATGGTACAGTATTTTTCTTTTATAACAAAGCAGCGAACAGTACTTTTCAACCTGGCTTATCAGCGAAACGAATAGGGCCTAGGGCACCCGCAACACTAAGAGCTATTTACTAGCTCTAAGTCAGCATCTCTAATAGTGTTAACTAATAACTCTTAGTATGCAGCATGTTCGGTTGGCTGGTTCGTTTCGTTGCTGGTTCGTAAAGAAGTACTGCTGGCTGGTTTGTGTGAGAGAAAAATACTGTTCCGGCTGGAAATTTATGATCGTTTACGACAAGCCACAGCCAAACGAATAGGCTGATGATTAGTCTCACATACCATTTTCACGTGATCTTGGAGTGTGTGTAAGAGTCTCTTAATTAAAAGCTAGCTTTTCTCTCACCTAGCTCTTAAAAGTCAATTGTTGGAGTTTTTTTTTTTTTTTAGCTCGCACGCGTGTGCAGCTGCAGCACAGTGCTCCCTGGCGGACGGACTCGGGGAAACTGTTGGCCGGGCTAAGGAAACTGTGGGCCGGGCAGCAACCCGTAGAGGCCCAATAAAAGCCCGTGTTCGCCGAAACTTCTTTTCGGATCCACACACGTGCGAGGCGACGGCGAGCGTCCACGAGTGACGTGGATGTGGGTCCCAAACAGCCTGGCCGAGCTGCCCGCCTCCGCGGGTTTGCATCCCACGTCCCGCGAAGCACGAGGAGACACGATGATGATGTGATATTATTCCTGAAAGCCAAAAAAAAAAAAGAGGAAAATAAAAAGAAGCAAGATCTGCCGCGGCTCCATTTTAACTGGTCGCCGCCTCCGCCGCTGCCATCTCACCCCCTCTCTCTCCTCCGTACCACCCGTCTTCGTCTAGCCGCCGCCCGCCGCCACCATGGCACCCGGCCTCTACACCGACATCGGCAAGAAGACCAGAGGTCTAGCACGCCATCTCTACCCTCCTCTTACCTCCTGATTGAGTACTGTTCATGTTCTCCGGTGCCCGGGAACCGATTGATCCTGACGCGTGGTGTCTCGTTTCCCTTTGCGCGCAGATCTGCTGTACAAGGACTACAACACGCACCAGAAGTTCTCCCTCACCACCTGCTCGCCCCATGGCGTCGTGAGTGCTCCTTCCCTCCTAATCAATCACCATCTCCTCCTAATCATGTCACTAGATGAGAACCCCATGGCGTAGTCCTTATTGGAGTGAATCATTTGTAGTTCGATTCCTTTCGGTGTTGCCAAACAGATGGAAACTCCACGCCCATTTCCAACTGGCCAATAGATTAGGTCGCTCTTGCTGGTTCTCTGCAGAGAGCCGTCCCCTCTAGCGATCACTATTTTAGTATTGCCTACAAATCTACAATGTGTGCCGGATCTCATACATGGAGTCCTGTATTTTTTTTATTTTTAAAAAAAGGATAAGGATCCCTGTATTTTCTAGATTAGATTATGCATGTTCAGGATATCCTCTCTTAATTACTGTGGTTCTGGTCTCCCCTCCTTTTCCTGTAATTGCATCGTGCATTTTGAAGGTGGTAACACAACAAAGCTTCAGGCGCGAGTTGATGATGTTTTACTGAATAGACGAGTAGGGGATCAGAATGCAGTATTGGTTTTCTGTATCTCAAGTTCTATATGTGATTTGCTCTGTGGCAATGATCTTGATTTTCCATACAGGCAATCACAGCTGCAGGAACAAGGAAAGATGAGTCCATCTTTGGTGAGCTTCACACCCAGATTAAGAACAAGAAATTGACGGTTGATGTCAAAGCGAACTCAGAATCAGATGTAAGCAAACTTGACGGTGTTCCACTTCTCTCTATCAAACTAACCATGTTTATGAGAATCTAGTTTCTGCTTTTGTTTTTCACATTGTTCTATTTTGGTTTGCACATTTAACTGTTTTTTATGCATAGTATTCTCGACTTGTGAGGATACCTTTTTTCTTGAGACTTACGAATTTCTTTTGGATTCATCTTACAGCTGTTGACAACAATCACTGTTGATGAGTTTGGCACTCCAGGGCTCAAATCAATTCTCAGTTTGGTTGTTCCGGACCAGAGGTCAGGGAAGGTATGTTTTTTTTTAATGGATTTTATCAATTGTGATTTGCTCAACTGTGTCGAACGACATGGTAACCAGTAAGGAAAACAATTATCCTCCTTTTTTGTCTTATCAGCTTGAACTCCAGTACCTACATGAATATGCTGGTGTGAATGCAAGCATCGGGCTTAATCCCAACCCTATGGTTAACCTTTCTGGTGTCTTTGGAAGCAAAGCACTCTCAGTTGGTGTTGATGTTTCATTTGATACGGCGACTAGCAATTTCACCAAGTACAATGCTGCCCTGAGCCTCACCAGTCCAGATCTTATTGCTTCCCTTCATTTGTGAGTATCACATCTTTACTGAACATTGGTCTTACAACCAGTCCTATTTTACTATGGTAAATAACCATGAAAATCTTAATCAGGAATAACCATGGTGATACCCTGGTTGCGTCCTACTACCACTTGGTAAAGCATCATTCAGGCACTGCTGTTGGAGCTGAGCTGTCTCACAGCGTCTCAAGAAATGAGAGCACACTAATCTTTGGGTCTCAGCACTCACTTGATCCCCACACGACTGTGAAGGCACGTTTCAACAACTATGGCATGGCCAGTGCCCTTGTCCAGCATGAATGGCGTCCCAAGTCATTCATCACCATCTCTGGTGAGGTCGACACCAAGGCAATTGAGAAGAGTACGAAAGTTGGCCTGTCCTTGTTGCTCAAGCACTGAAACACTGAGTGTTTTGGGCTCTAGGATTTTTTATTTTCGGTTCAGGTGGATTGGAATAAACATGGCCTGGAGTCATCTTTGCGGCACCATTTTGATCTTGAATTATAGATTTTTTTTCTCTCTCCATGATCTATTTCATAGGCAAATATTAGGATTGACCTTATGTTTTAATTCTCAGTGCCCTGTTAATAATTTCTGTTGATTGAGACCTATTGTTAAGCTTGTCAAATATGATGGTGACTACTTTGTGTTCACTTCTATGTTCATTCCTTCGTCAGTCACTAGAAACATGTGTGGCTTTGCCACGCCTACACCAGATTTGGGCCAGTGTAGAATTTGGTGTGAGCCACAGTGAGTAGTGACCTAGAGTTCTCTCCAGATGATGTATTCACCTGAATATGCGCCATGGTCAGTAGATATGGTCTCTGATGATGTTTCGACCTAAGTCTTTGGCCAGGTTAAAAAGTATATAGTGATATAGTCATTGATTAACATGAGGAAGTAAGAATGCTAGGAGTTGCATTGAGCTACAAATTCTCTTGAAAATGGCTGTAGCATCTGACATAGTTGCTATATATGGCCTGCTTTAACAACACAGCTCCATGCCTATCGGAACTTGCATTATTATAATATCACTATTCAGTTAATGCATTATTAGGCAATGACCACCGGAAGGAATTATGCACCACAGTAGTATTTTGTTTGTTTGTCTTCAACTCTCTGGGTCCTATACCTCAGTTAGGAGCAGACTCCAGCTCACGCATCCTTCTCATGCACACGTTTGGCCGAAGTTGTTCCGTCCTCCCTACTCTCTCGGTAGCCTCCTCTCCCCCTCCATGGCTCCTAATACAGAAGAACATCGTATTAGTCAGTACCTGTAGAAAGGACTGGTAGCAAGCAGAGAGAAAAACTGGGCAGAGATATAACATTAACAATCATCAAACCAAAGGAAGAGGACTACCTGCACATAAATGTCAAAAGGACTTGGTAAAAATTAATCGGACCATGATGACATGAAGTATTTTTGAAGCTAGGCGATGTCATGTAGGCTTTCAGATGCTGAGATGATCAAATATCAACGCGTTAAGAGTGGTTTCAGGAAGAATAATAATTTATATGATTAGCAAAAGACAACACTGAAATTTGTTTAAAGGGCAGACCCAGTGCCGGAGGCTCCCACATGAGTGGGGTCTGGGGAACCGAGACAAGCCTTTCCCCCGCAAAATCTACGGAGAGGCTGCTTCGAACCCACAACCAAGGTTTAAATGTTAATTATACCCAATGCAAATCAGTATGTCTACAGGATGGTTAGATTTAAGAATTCCAACTTTCTAAGTCCCTTAATGATTCTTGAAGAACAACTATGTTTGAAATGTAAGGAATATAAACTTATCTTCTTCAGTAGATATAGAAAATAACAGGATGGTATGCAATCTCAAAATGTAGTCTGTTTGATGTAGGCAAGCATTTATACATCTCTACTGCTAAATGAAACATTCTGAGGTACATTTTTGGGTCAATGAAAGTTGTGCACAGCAATTGTCACTACAGTGTTGATGACAGAAGCGCACAGGAGGTCGGTATTTACCTATTTTAGCTCGTGTGAATAATTGAGGTCACCAGGCTTCAGGTCAGAAAGAAGTTTGAAAACCATGCTGACTGATGTTAAATAAAATTAGTTATTGGTTATAAGTATATTTTCCTCAATATATGCATAATGAAATAGGTAAATGATGCATTTGTCAGCTAAAGGCATGAGTACATTTTCTATGAACTATCAGTCAAAAATATATTTTAATGATATGTGGTTGTACCATGCAGTAGATAGATGAGGTGCAAAACTAAACATAGCGTGACATGCTCTTTTTGTATGCATGTAGGAGCCAAAGCAGAGGCAAGAATCTCTTTAAATACAATGTTCCTTGTTTGATCAGAACAATTACCATTGTCATCTACAATTAAGATGTTGAAGCCTTTAATTTTAAGTCACACGAGATACAACATCATACAATATTACAATTGACCATGACTGAAAACAGTTTTTTTTAAGTATACACCTACAGCTGACAGGTCTGTCCATGACTCTTGCTGATTGTCATAGCATAACATACATTAATGGGAAATTGCTGTCTCTGAAGAATGAAAGGAAATTTGTTATTTTTCAGTGTAAGACAAATTGAAGGTATGGCTATCATCACAGAAGTTTATATTGTGTGGAGTAACCTATTGAGTAGGTTAGTATAGAAAACACTATAGGGTTTATGGTTAAGACACAAAAGGGAGCTGGATATGGCAGCCGTCACTAAAATTTGCATTTCACATTAAAATAAAATGTGGAGTAATCTATTGAGTATGTTACTATACAAAACACCGTGGGCACATAAGAGAGCCTGGATATGGCAGCCCCTCACTACAATTTGCATTTGACATTAGAATAAATTAATAACCATGGTGACAAATCCATAAAGCATGAATACTGACATAAAGGAATAACTAAGTCCTGAGACTTGATAACTCAAACATTACAAGTAGTTACAAAAATAAAACTACTGATCAAAGGCATACTCATCTGAAATCTTTTCCTACTTGACGTATTTGTTGCACTGCGTCAATATACTCAGAGAAATTCAGAAGCACAACAAGAGAGAATCCATTCCTATCCTATAAGAAAATCTTGAAAACAGGCCACTTCCGGAACTTGCATCAGAAGCTTGGTTACGTGAAAATAAATAGGACTTGTGGCACAACATCAACGGCCTGATAGTTGCAATAAGCCCAGCCTGGATGCAACAAGCACATTTTTTCTAGCATGGCTAACCCAGAAAGTCTTTAGGTCTTAAGTAAAAAACCGTAACTATATATCTGTAAGACTTGGTTGCAGGTTACTACCATACAAAGTACTGAGTATTAACTGACATAGATATAGAGGTATTGAGTAAAAGAAAAGGGAGATATTAATCAAATTTATTCTTCTCGTGGGGATAGATATTTGACAAATGTAATTGAACATCCTTATGCATACAACATAGTTAAGTAGTAGGACCTCTCTTTCTAGGCGTGGGAAACTACCCCATATGAAATATTGGCGCCATTTAGTAGCTGTCAAATTTTGATGACTGAATCTTCAAACTACAACATTATTAGCAGTTATCAAGTAAGCCTCAGTTGATGCCATTGTGAAATGTAAATTGGCTGCAGCTCAAGTTGCACGGCAGTTCTTGATCAGCTGGACCACAGTATTGGCACAAAATTGCAAGTGCAAGAGCAGGACATTCAATTGAGGAAAATTTTCAAAGCAATACAAGGAAGCAAACCTTTGGGTGGCTACTGAAGGATGCAAAGATCATGGAGTTCTGCTGAAAAAATTTGTTCCTTTTTTTTTCTGAAATGAGCAAAAATGTGTTCCTTATCGAGCAGCAAATAGCACGGCTCGATATACATGCTGCTGGGCCAAATCTGCATGTTCGCCCTGTCCATGTCTGCATCGTGGCTGCGGCAGGTTCCCTGCAGACCGGCGCTGGGGAGGGAGACACGGCGGGTGCAGCGGTGGCGTCCGGGCCGCGCGTGTGTCCAGTGGACCCGTCGTATCTTGTTCCTTGCGTGTGCTGCTGACCGTGGTTCAGGGATGGCCCCCAACTTGCATCACCATGGAGGGGCCGAAGGGGGCAGGCCCGGACGAGGGCCGTGGCGGAGGGAGGTGCGTCCGGCGAGGCATACGAAGGGAAGAAGCCGGTGGGAGCGGCGCCGTGAGCAGCATACCGCGGTCCCCGGCCACCATGCTCGCCTGTACTCGACGCACGTGCCTCTCCCCGTGTCTCACTGCCCTCGGCTGGCCGCCCCCGCGTGGCCTCGCTGATCTCCCCGCCCGTGCGAGCGAGTTCGCAAGGATTCGCGGGAGGAGCATGGCGGCCTCGCGGGAAGTGCGGAAGAGAGGGGTGGCGGCGGCGTGGGTGAGGCCGATCCCTTCGAGAAGGAGCGAGGCTAGGCAGCCACCGGCAGCAGTGCGGCCCAAGGCAGAGGGACCGAGTGCTCAGCCGAGCCGAGCGGGTTCATGAGCATTAGCGTGTGTCCGGGTTCACGACTTATCGGGTAAGACACCCGCTACGGTCCCAATCCAACGGTTCATATTGCATCTTGGCTGGATCCAACGGATAGCAGGTTACGGGCGACGTGGCCCTATCCATTAGCCCGCTTTTGGTGCAAAAATCGTATACAGTGAAGTGATGCGTCTGGATTTAGGGTGATTACTCTGTGTTCACTTCTATGTTCATTCCATCGTCAGTAATGCGTTTGGATGTCTGGATAATAGTGGGATTGTTTACTGTGGTATACGTATATTATGTAATTATATTTTCCAGCTTTTATTTGGGATTATGAAAAGGAAAAGCAACGTTTTTTTTTTTGACATGGGAAGGAAAAGCAACGTTGAGGCCTTGCAAAATTCTGCGAAAGGGTACTCCCTCTGTTCCTTTGTAACCATCGTTCTAAGACTGGCCACAACGTGAGCTTTTGCCGGTGCTGAAAGAGGAGAGATAGTGTTTCAGCACCGGTGCTGAACATTGTAGCAGCCGATGCTTGGTCCAATTTTTCAGGCACCGTGGCAAGTGCGTTCACCGATGCCTGAACCAATAAAAAATTATTTCCAACCAGCCGTTGGTCCTAGATGACTATAATATTATTATCCCCTTGGTCCTGGCCATTGCCTTGCATGCTAGCCGTTGCGGCTTGCTGCATATATATACATATAGTTCACCAAGTATAGATCAGGCATATATCCAAATACAAAAGTTCAAAGATGGACCACTCTTCCTCTTCTAGTTTCTCAAATCTTATCAACTCACACACAGAAGCACCAAATCCAAACACACAGCAGTACCCAAACTTCCAAACCTTCAATCAGCAACAACACTACCCCATGAACTATCCACCCACCAATTTGCATGGTCCCTACCCACAAAATATCAGCAATTCCTTTGGAGGACCACCAAGTTTCCAGCACT